GTTATTAATGGCACACATCTAGCGCCCCCCCCCCTCAAGTTCCTCTTCCTATTTATCACCCCCCGGGACTAGACATTATATGCTTGGACTAATAAATTATTATTCTGGACTGTACTGCGGAGCGGTGATATTGGGGAGCAGTCAGTCACCCAGCCATCGTCACTCGTAAGAGGGTTGCCCTTTTTTTTTCCTCCTTGAATACTTCTATTTAGTAACCTATCAGAAGATCGAACTCAGTTAGTCAAGTCCCAATAAGAACAGGCGGGGCGGGGTTCCTAGAATGCCATGAAAACCCGGAAAAAGCCCGTTCAAGAGGTCAAATTTTACCATGATTTGGAGATGCTAGAGATTCTTTTATGGTTCAACGTGATCGGGGTGTCACTGTACTTTTTTCAATAACATTACTTTAACCCCCGCCCAGTTGTGTAAAGCTAATTAGAGGAAAAGCGGGCACGCATACTCTTGTATCTCTCTCTTCTCTCTTTGCGAGCCGCAATATGTATATGTGAGCAGCGTGATGTAGAACACCTCCCTTTTGGAACCAAACATCCCATTCTTAATCCCAGCTATCCGAGGTCTGACAGTGCTCCAAAAGAATTGCGGTACTTTTAGACACATATTGTACCCCTGTGATGAGCTTCAAGCGAGTCCACGAGGCTTTGGCAGGAAAATAGGCTTAGCCTGGGAGAATAAATCTGGACTGAAACAACGGTCTATAGAAGGTACCTAGGTGGACAACCAAGAATCAAAATTTGGCGAGTAGGATAAGATGTCATAGGAAGGCGGGAGGGTTGAATGGGCCAACCTCTGAGCATAGAGTGGGGAAATGAACACAATAGGAATGGAGAATAGAGAGTGAAAGAGGGAGGGGACAGGAAGGAAAGGAAAAAAGAAAAACAAATAATAACGAAAAATGTTTTTAGCCCCAGGATGTACAATTTTCCACATGTGTTCAGGCCTGCCCAACACCGCGGTGCTCAACAGCTAATATATATCTCCGGCATTTCAATTCTAAAGAGGGCAGAGGTCGAGTGATATATTTTGACGAGGATACGGTTGCACCCAGACGGGGTTATTCTAGAGCGTAGCTCTGTTAAAGCTCAAAAATAGATGGCCTTCGCAAAGCTTCCAGTCCCGCACGTTGGGGGAACCACTGCAGGATACCAGAATTCAAACTTTAAATGCTAGCAGGTTTATCCGATTAGGAGAAGATTCTTAGAGATCCTTCGGTATGAGAAAGGCCCTCGATATTCGCGATAGATGATAGGCCACTAGCTAAAGTGCTTGGAAGCTGATCGGCCAGAAGGCCCGCTATGCACAGACCCCTCGGCAGTGGAAACTACAGTTTGTGCGGCTGGCGTTGATTTTCTGTTTCTGTCTGCTCCACCATCTAAGCAGTTTGTAATTTGGTGCCAAAAGGTGGCGAGTGATGTAGTGTGATCCCAGTCGGGGTGCACCTAGAAGCAACTATCTTGGCCTTATGAAGTCCTGCGATAAACGCAGGAGTCTCTGGACATGGGCGGTAAGAAAAGGCTTATACGCTAGCATGAACCAGATCTATCATACTTCACGCTGTCTGCTCAATAATCTTCGAAGCTATGAAAGATTAATAGAGGAAAGGGTGAGCTATGAAGTTTATTTTGCTCTGTCCTCGGGAGTCTACTGGGTGTATGGGGAAAAAGATATTCTTTGCTTCATCACGGGGATCTGCAGAGCACAGGCTCGGGAAATCCTGGAGCGTGGCAATTTCGGACACAAGGTCCTACTATTGAAGTCCCAGATGTCTCTCGCAAAGGGCAGTGGGTGGAGGTTGACCGTGGAGGTTACGGGAATGTTGAAGGTGGTTACTGTTGTTCTGGAGTTTATAGAGTTATCATTATCTATTTCGGTAAGAAGCCTCTTCACTCATGTCTTCCCTGTATTTCACATGTGTGGGGGGGGACGTGCACGGAGGAGACGGGGGAACTGTGGTGACCCATGGAAGGACCAAAATGGTCAGGTAACGCTTTACTTATACCCCTGTCTTCACCGTTAGTTTGAGGAAGACGCCGAGCGAGAGAAAGAAGCATACCCAAGCGGCTAGCAACAGTCTAACCACCTATGAGCACTAGTAGAGATATTTGAATAAATTTTGGAATAAACTATCGATTTTTTAATTTTTTTTGTGGCTTCAGAATGCACTGAACATAAAATACGAGGTGGTGCGGCTTGGGTTTTTATATGCCTTTCTACTTGTCACATTTGTCTCCAGCCTCGTATGATATTAGGTACTTTATAACAGAAGGACTAGATATAGACGAAAGAACAGAGTATTAAATTTATGATACCGTGGAGTCACTCGGCTGGAAACCGGGGAAGGGGGGAGAATTCATGGGTATGGGTTCGCCGCACTCTCCCGATAGAAAATTAGGTAAACTGGCAGTAAATGTCCTGTAAGTCCCTAATCTGGAAAATAACAGATTAATGAAAACTATATCCCCAATCCTATTCCCGACAGACCCCCGTAGTATATGCTGTGTTCACTGCAGCCTCTCAAGTCCCCCAGGACCAAAGAGCGAGCGACATGCTCAATATGCCATAATGCTATCCCTTAGGAATAACCATCAGAATAAAAATGCCTGGAGCGGGCCCACAGTCAGTTTAATAGTCTACGCGAGTGAAAACAACAGTGGATAAAGCAGGGAGGTTACGGAAGTATGTCCTGGATAGGGAGTGCACAGAGTGAGAAGCGGATCAAATTTCTCCACCCCTACATGGGTCACCAAGTCGCATTATTCCTCATTTTTCTCGACTTATCTGGGGATACAATAATGGGCTATCTCGCATATAACTCGCTTTGATCACCCCATACCTCACTCACGCCACTTCGCGAATGGCTCTAACGCGTGGCCTAGGTTAATCCCGGTTCACCTATCGCAAGGCTTACTTCCGGTCAATTCAGGTGCGCTTTTATACTGTACTCTCGGGGATAGGTACCAACGACTGATGTGTTGATCTTGAGCTGGTATGGTGATACATTAGGAAAGGAAAGGTGACAGGGCAGGGAACGCAAGTTCACAAGCAGCGCACACTCCAAGATCAGGTGATGGGCACCCTCCCCCAACAACCACCACCTCTAGGGGGTCGCAAACATGGCGTTAGATTGCTAGTAAAAATCGGAAAAAAAAGAGGAAGAAATATTGGAAAACGGAAAAATAGGAAAAGGAACTGAGTACCGAATTCCTGACCCAGGAGACGTCCGGGCCGAAGCCAACCAGCCAAAGGAAAAAAAAAGAAAAAGAAAAAAAAACCTGGGTAAATCAAACTGAAACTGTCCTGCTCTAAACCCCCCGCATCCACATCCGCCACCCCTAGAACAATACCCTTATCCCCTTAGTCAGGAAGTCTCGGAAAATTTACAAATAGGTAGCAAGTGTTGGTGTATCCCCAAACTTTAGACAGGAGCACTTGAGAAATGTCGAATTTTGCTATAGGAGCAAGATAACGAAAAAACAAAAATAGCGTTCATCAGGAATAAATATCCCTCACGGGGGTAGGTTAAAGGGAGCACTCATTTAGTACAGTACAGACAGGGTCTGTAATCGCGAATGGGGAACGTTGCTTTCCGGGGGTGTCGGAATAGGTCAGGGAATAAAGGGGACCGCGTGATAGAGGTAGTACAGAAGTCAGATCGGTCGAAACGGTAGTTCTAGGTTTGGGGTTGAATAAAGGAACGGTGCGGTCGTGGGGAAGGCGGAGATTTTTGGACGTCATCCGGGATGTCATTCGTAGGATGAGAGGTTGTTGGGAGTTATTACTAGCACAATACTAGAGCGATATGGTGGATTAATGGTAGTGATGGGTGGTAACTTAGATATTCTGTAGCCGCATTTGGAAAACTGGTCTGGATGAGGGGGTAGGGGTCGGTGGGATAGGAGAGGAATAATTTCCGGGATTGGTTGGTAATTAGCCTGGTGGTTTTCTGGTAAGTAGTTTATATAGAAGGTCTCCCGGATACTTGCACTGCTTCTGCTGCAGTGCATTGTCCTGATTCTGACTTCCCCGCCTCATGATCTAGTAGAAGCTGCTCAATTGACCTATTCCCTCTCATTGCAGCTGCTAGTCGTGCATTGTCATAAAGGCCACCTTTAGCATTCACCTTGGCCCCACGCTTGAGGAGAAGCTGCGCAACATGTTTGTTCCCAATCGCAGCAGCTGCTTGGAGCGCATTGCCATAACTGCCACCCTGAGCATTTACCTTTGCTCCGCATTCAAGGAGAAGACGCACAACCGATTCATCGCCCCCTACGGCAGCTGCATAGAGCGCATTTCCATAACTCTTATGCTCAGCATTCACCTCCGCGCTATGGTCGAGGAGACACCGCACGACTGATTGGTTCCCTCGTACTGCAGCTTCATGTAGTGTGTTGCCCTGAGTATTCAGCTTTGCCCCGTAGTTAAGGAGAAGGCGCGCTATGGATTCATTCCGCCCATGTACCGCTGCATATAGGGCAGTACCATAACGGCCGTGCCGACAATGCACATCTGCGCCATTTTTAAGGAGAAGCCGTGCAACTGGTTCGCTCCTCCTTACTACAGCTGCATGCAGTGCATTGCCGAAAGGGCCCCCATGAGCGCTCGTTTCTGCGCCCCCCTCAAGTAGGAGTTTTACAACCGGCTCATTCCCTCTCACTGCAGCAGCTTGTAGTGCATTGCCATATTGGCCACCCTTCGCATTCACCTCTGCCCCACGCACGAGAAGCACCCGCACAACCGATTCATTACCCGCCTGAGCGGCTGCTTGTAGCGCATTGCCATATTGGCCACCCTCCGCATTCACCTCTGCCCCATGCTGAAGGAGGAGGTGAACAACCGATTTGCTCCTCGCCTGAGCAGCTGCTTGTAGTGCATTGCCATATTGGCCACCCTGAGCATTCACCTCTGCCCCATGCTGAAGGAGAAGGCGAACACAATTTTTCCCGCCTGAGCAGCTGCTTGTAGTGCATTGCCATATTGGCCACCCTGAGCATTCACCGCTGCCCTATGCTGAAGAAGAAGGCGAACTAATCTGTGCCCCGCCTGAGAAGCTGCTTGTAGCGCATTGTTATATTGGCCGCCCAAAGTATTCACGTCTGCCCCGTGCTGAAGGAGAAGGCGAACAACTGATCTGTTCCCCGCCTGAGCAGCTGCTTGTAGTGCACTGCCATATCGGCCACCCCGAGCATTCACCTCTACTCCATGCTCGAGGAGAAGGAGAACAACTGATTTATTCCCCGCCTGGGCAGCTGCCTGTAGTGCATTTCCATATTGGTGACCCTGAGCATTCACATCTGCCCCACACTCGAGGAGAAGGCGGACAATTGATTCATTCCTCGTCTGAACGGCTACTTGTAATGCGTTGCCATATTGGCCACCCTGAGCATTTATCTCTGCCCCACCCTCTAGGAGGAGGCGAACAATCGATTCATTCCCTACCTGAACGGCCGCTTGTAATGCATTTCCATATTCACCACCCAGAGCATTCACGTCAACCCCGATCTCAAGAAGGCTTCGCACGACCAATTCATTGCCCGCAAACGCAGCGACTTGCAATGCATTGACGTAATCATAATTTTGAGTGTTAGCCTCTACTCCGTGCTTGAGGAGAAGCTGCACAACTGATGAATCCCCCATATTTGTAGCTATTCGCAGTGCATCACCATACTTTCCACCCTGGTAATTCACTGATGCTCCATAGTCGAGGAGAAGCTGCACAACTGACCTGTTCCCCGCAAATACAGCTGCCTGGAGTGCATTGCCATAATCGCCACCTTCAGCATTCACCTCTGCCCGATGCTCAAGCAGAAGCTGCACTACCGACTCATTCCCTGCTGCTGCTGCTGCTTGTAGTGCATTGCCGTAAAAGCCAGCCTGGGCATTCACCTCGGCCCCGCCCTCGAGAAGAAGATGCACAATGGGCTCGCTCCCGACTGCTGCTGCTGCCTGCAGTGCATTGCCATATTTACCGCCCTGAGCATTCACATCTGGTCCACGGTCGAGGAGAAGGCGGACAACCCATTCACCCCCAGCCCGAGCAGCTG